TGATTTCCTCTTGGACTCCAAAGTTATTTATTTAGAGTAGCCAAGCATGGTTTGGCTACTCTAAATAAATGGTACATGGTAACTTGAACCTTTTATCATAATCCTTTTTTCTGTCTCTCTACAGATACTTTTAGGGAAGAGGGACAGTAGTTTGGGGAGAAGGAGGAGTGGTGTGAGGTGGTCAGCACACCTTCTTGCCCATACAGTTTCCCTCGTCATATACCTCCCTGTCAGCTCTAATACTACCCTTCAAGGGCAGCAGTAAGGAGGTTTCATAGACAAAAGAAAATATCTCCTTACCATATCATGACTGGAGTCTCAGTTGCACGTCACTTGCATTGTTGTATAGTCATAGTATGTGTGCTAAGTAAATGCTTTTGGAGGAAGTCAATGGAAAGAATAATATTACTAGAATTATACACAAAAAATCACCCAAAATATCCTTTTCTTATAACTTGACAATAATGCTAAGTGATTCAATTGTGCACATTGGAAAACAAATCTTAAAAGAGAAAAATATTGATCATTATAGTTAAAGTTCTTTTTCCAAATCCAACTATGTATTTGGATTCATTATTTATAGCAAATAGGAAGTTCACTATTTATAATTATGGTAAAATTCTTTGCAAAGGGCTTGGTTTTGTAATACAAGTACTTCTTAAATGGCCAGTTTTGACTTTTGTTAGTTTATTTATCTTAGGATCCTTTCCTAAGACAGGCTACCCATGTTAGTATCAGCTATGTAAAGACACGGGGAGCTCTTTTCCCCAGGAGAAATCTCTGGTAATTTTTGCTGCTTCTCTGCAATTCATCTTCAACAGTTTTTTTCCCCAAGTGAGTCTATGCAATTTCTCTAGTCACTACACAGTCTGTGCAATTTGAAAATTCACCTACATCCATTAACTCTCCTTGCTATCTTAATAGGATAGTCTTGCCTAGCACTGACCAGTTTAAAAAGCAAATATAAACAAACAACTAGCAGGTTTTTGTTACTGCTATTGCATTTGGATGCTACACTAGGTAGAACAACATCATCAAATATGTTTTAAGACGAGGTTACATGCTTTTATTATTTACTAGCCAGTGCTGATAGCAGTAATTGGGGTCACTGGACTACTGAATTCAGGAGGCTTCCAGAAAACCACATGGACATTTTGCATATGTCATTACAATCCTAGAACTCAACCTGAAAAATGTTTTTGTTAAGTCAAGGTAGTTGTACAGTGCCAAGAGTCTAGGTTTTGCTATCAGACAGCTCTAGATTTGAAATCTGCCTCCTGCTAGCTGTGTGACATTCTGCAAGTCGCATAATGCTAATGACAACAATAACAATACTACTGCTAATAAAAACATAACAACGTTAGACTGTCAAACAGGCATCACCAAATGTTAGGCAGAGTTTGCTTAATATTGTTTATACCTACTATCTTATTTAACCCTCAGACAAATCTGAGACAAATACTATTATCATTTTATAAATGAGTAAAAAGAAGAGCTTCATACTTCAAGTACACACAGTTAGCATATATGATCTGTGGCAGATCCAGATTTCAAGCTTTTAACCAGAGTCAACTGCCTCTCTGAACCTCAGTTTCCTAATCTGCACTCTAAGTGCAAAATAACTATCTTGTAGGGTCGAGAGGAGGAGCAGGGATCTCACAGTTACTGCTTCTAACACTGGTCATTTATCATTGCTGCTGGTAGTGTTGCTATTATATAACCTTAGTCAATTTCTAACACGAAGGATGTATGAATACTTTCTTCTTTGCACTCATGTTTTTAGGAATAGAGCTAAGCCCTACTCACTTAGGAAAGGCTGGTAGTATCTCTAGTTTCAGCAGGGCCAATGAACAGGGTCAACTAGTGACTCAAGCACCCCATATGTGACCATCTGCAAGCCTGCCTAGAAATACAGACTCTCCAGTAACCTGCTTTCTTTGGTAAGATAATCAGTTCTTTCCTTTGGAGCTATGGGGAGTTAGGCATGAATCTGGGGCCATGGTCCGAGATACATTCTGTGTCTTTTTGCTTCTTCCCACGAAGAGAAGATCTTTCCTGCTGGTGGTTCTACCTGTCACTCTTCCTGGGATTTTGCCCAGTCAACTTAAGGGAGTTATCTGACCCTATAGCATCATACGACTTTTTTTTTTTTTTTTTTTTTTTGAGATGGAGTCTCGCTCTCTCGCCCAGGCTGGAGTGCAGTAGCACGATCTCAGCTCACTGCAACCTCTGCCTCCCAGGTTCAAGCAATTCTCCTGCCTCAGCCACCCGAAGTAGCTGGGACTATAGGCGTGCACCACCATGCCCAGCTAATTTTTCTATCTTTAGTAGAGACGAGGTTTCACCATGTTGGCCAGGATGGTCTCAATATCTTGACTTCGTGATCCGCCTGCCTTGGCCTCCCAAATTACTGGGATTACAGGCGTGAGCCACCACGCCTGGCCAGCGTCATACGACTTCCTAAAGGCTACTGCTAACCAAGCATCTTAATGCAAAACACTTTGTCCAAAGCAGCAGTCTGTTTCAATGGCCATGACTTTAGTAGCAGTCCCTTCTTAACACTAACAGCTAACTGAGAGCAGTGTTATAAAGCATCAGTGGCTACTTAATTGTAAGCTTAAAGGCTGGATGTGTAATTATTAAAGATATACGCTTACGTTATAGAAATACTTTTGGACCACACAAAGAGTATGGAACAGTCGCCATCCAAAGCCTCCCAGGCACCAGGCGATGCTTGTGCAGAAAGGCCAGGACTGACGCGACAGCCTCTAACCTGCAGGGGACAATCTGCTGGTTGTCACCCAGTCGTCTCTGTCCCCGCAACATATGGGCAGGCAGGGGATGGACAAAGCTACATCTGGAGCTCCTTCTGCTCACTGCCTTGCAGCCATGAAGGCTCCAAACCATGGCACGTATGAAAAGTACTTTGTGTGTTACACAGTTATTTAAATACCTCCCAGGCTAAAATGTCCCAAGCAGCTTTTCCTAACATATGGACCCAGGTCTTCCTTCATCAGAATCACCTGGGTGACTGATGAACATGCAGATTCTTGTGCATATTTGTCTATTTATTAGTTTATTTGTCTCCCTTGATAGCATGGAAGCCCTGGAGAGTAGAAGCTGTCTCGTTTACCCTGCTACCCCAGTTCCTACAATGCTGCTTGGAACTCAGCAAGTGCGCAATAAATATGTGTGGGATGAATTAATTCCGGGGTCCTATGCTGACCTACTAAATCAAAAGCCCTAAGAATGGGGCCACGCATTTTAAACAGGGACTTGGGCGATTATTATGCTCACTACATTTTAAGAACCAGCATTCTAAGGTAATTCGGCCAATTCTAAAATAGAGAAAAAGATGGCAAGTTTCCTCCCCCAAGGCCTCCCTATTCACTATCTGGTCAGACATTAAGGTAAACATATTACTAGCCTTAGGTTAAACTTTCCCTTCTAGTCATATTCCTCCAACAAATGTTTATCTACCACCTGCCATATGTCAGGCTCTGGGTCCTAAGTAGACAAAACAAATACAGGTTTGGAAGGCAGAGTGTCCAGGAGAGACTAGAGCCACCCCCATTTCTTTCCAATCTGCCAGAGGTGCATGAGTTGATGGTTTGACAAGCCTACTCCCTCCTCCTGCCCACATCTCGCTGATACAGGAAAGAAACAGACTGTACGTTCGTTACTGTTTTCCCGGCAGGTTTGGATAACACCTCTCGTTCGTGAAAGTCAGCTGTGATCTTGAAAGATTTATCTTATCTTAAAATAATCCAAACTTTCCAAACAGATTTCCTATATGTTTGGCACCTTTGAGTTTGTTCTGGAAGCTTAGATGATATTTCTAGTTACTCCCTGGACTTTTACCGGTATTTGATCTTGGGCAGTCACTTCTCCTCTCAGGCTGTTGCCTTATTTGAAAAATGAGAAGGTTCAACTAGAATCAGGCATGTCTTGGAGCCCCTTCCAATTCGAATGGACCCTCATCTCTGACTCCTCAGTGCCATCTTAATGCCTTATACTTAATAAAATGTTAAGTATGATATGATTTAATGAGCAAATAATGATTGTCAAGCTAGTCTACCCAAAATTCTCCCAAGCAAAGGTGTTTAACTTGTGGTAAACTTGGGTAAAATTCAAGATTTGCAAAAAACAATTTCTAAGAGTTCTCATTCTCAGTTTTCTTGTTTACCTGCAAAAATACTATGGCAATTTAATGTGCTTTAAACTTTATGTAAAAGGTAAAGATAATACCCACATTTTCTCAGAAATTTGAACATTTTGTTTATATCAGAGCAGGAGCAAGGTGCTTTAGTACAGCCTGATCTGATCAGGTTGGAAATCACTGCTTTAAGGGATGCATTTACCTGCCCGGATGAGGCATGACCATCATTTCTGGCACGTTTTGCAGACTCCTGACCATATTATGTTGTTCTCCGTAGAACGATTACCATGACCCTCTGCTGTGCACAGAACCTTCTTATTAAGTCATCCTCTTAATTCAGTTAAAACAAGCCTGATTTGGAGCAAAATGTTTGGCAATGAAAGGAGAGTTCAGAAAAACCTTTTTATTCCAAATCTTTTAATAAACCGACCTGCAATTTCACATACCATTGAAACAGCAGGAAGAGAAAATCCATTCTGAAACATCTGGATGAGCTACCTAATGACATTCCAAGTGCTAAAAGCATAAAGAAGGCCAAAAATTCATGGGCTCACGTTCCAAACATCCTTTCAACCCTAAAAATGCTTCTTTCCTAAAACAAAAACACAGATACTGCTTTGCTTACTATTATAATAATCATGGTACGGGAGGCAGAGAAACATTCTTTAAGTCAAAATAGCTCTCTGGAGGTTGCTAACATGGCCAAATACATCCTTCCTGGAAACAGTCAACTAGTTGTTCAACAGTTTGGGGTTGGACTTTACTCTCCTACGGCCACTTACATTGTAAAGATGATGAAGCAAATTATTCAAAGCAAATCTATATTTCTTTTTCCTTCCAGAGGGAAAATGATCCCATCTGATCTTGAAAGAAGGATTCTCGAAGCCAAACAGAAAGTAAGTTTCTGCTGGGATCTTTATCCAGCCCATATTTCTATTTTCATCCAGCAGAGAACAAAGTGTGTTTTGGTTTTATTTTTAAAAGAGGATCCAAACCTCAATTTCCCAGGTTTAATGAGAATGTAGAATTCTGCATCCAGTCACTATTTATTTCTCTGGGTTATAGGCTCTGCTTTAGAAAAGTTTAAATTGCTGAATAAATATTATATACAGAGATACAGTGAGAGTTTCCAAAGCATTTGTCTTCCTAGGTACTGAGGGTTGGCATGAAACACAAACACATTTGAAAGAGTATTTTCGGAGGCAGGGAAATAGCAGAATGCTAATGTAGTATGTGAGGAACTCTGGTGCGGTTCTTCAAAAGGGGCCAGTTTTTCCTGTCTAGGTGCATGATGTTAGCATTGGCTCTCCAGACATCTTATTTTGCAAGAAGCAATTTAGAACTCTTTTCAGAAGTAACAGGTTTTGAATGCCTGGCCAAGATTCCCAAAGCTCTGGAAAGTCATTTACAACCTGGAATGGCTCACAAATCAGAGAATTTGTTTCTAGAATTCTCTGTTTACCATTTGGTAGATATAATCTACAGTTCCTGATTTAATAACATACACATGCATTTATTATTAGGAACTCAGAAATCATTATTTACGTTCATATGCCCTTATTCGTTTGGTTTTGGTTTACTAAGTGCAGGCAGCAGGAGAAGGTTTCCCTCGTTCTTGTGCAGGTACTAGAACTACTTCTAGTAACATCAACTACAAGATTAAACCTTTGCTGCCACCTAAAGACTGACACTGTAACATCACATTCTATAGACAGGACAGAGTCCTTATGGAATGAGGGACTATGGCGATCCTGTCTGTGGCATTCTGCTGCCTTCTTCCAGCCTGTTACTTCAATCAGTTTTCATTTAGCCATGGCCAGAGAGACTGAGGACTAGTTAGATGGATAAAAGTCATGGCTTAGTATTTTAGCTCCTCCGTGCTGAAATGCCAAATGAATTATCTGGGCATTTTACAAATAGGAATAATGGGCTGGTCAAAGCTACTTCTCTTCATTCTCCTGCCTACTCACTCTAGGGGATTTATGAAGTTCAGAGGCCTCGGTGTGAATAAGGAACACTTGAAAGTGAGCAAAGGGGGTTAAAAGGGCCAGAAAGTCTACCGGGAATATATACATGTATCGGGGACATCCTTTGACAGCCTCTGGGTTCACTACAGCTTCTTCTGAGAATCGAAATGTCTGTTCTTATAAGACACAGTCAGGTCCAACAGCATGGCCTAGAGAACTCAGATTCCAGAGAGTGAACATCAATTTGTCATAACTCTTCTGCTGCTTCCCCAAATTCAGACGAGTCTGTTAGGGAGAGAATTCCCATTGCTTCGAATCAGCTTTTTAAAAGAACCCTTGACTCTGTTTCCCATGATTTGGGGCTTTCTCGTTTGCACAGGGATTTGTTCCTTTCCTCGTGAGTGCCACAGCTGGAACCACCGTGTATGGAGCATTTGATCCGCTCTTAGCTGTCGCTGACATTTGCAAAAAGTATAAGATCTGGATGCACGTGGATGTAAGTATCCCGTAGGGACTGGCCACTAAAATGTCCTTGGATGTTTTTCATCTGGTACACACGAAGGAAATTTCTTTTCTTTTTTTTTTTTAACTTGATCAGCTTATTTTCAGAGTGGTGATATTAACGCTTTTAAAGATGGCTGAAGCAAATTAGCACACAACTCACACAGTACACACCATGCACCAGAAGCATCCCGAAGCTGATTATACCTTAATGTCCCCAACATGGTAATATTTGTATTTCTATAATCAGTACCCAGGCTGACCACTTTGTTCTCAATTCATCGAGCCATTGCATTCATGGAGGAATATAACCTACGCACACAGTCCCACTCTTCCTCACTTACCAGAATGGTCAAAAGAGTAAAAAGGAGTTGCATTTATGTAGGAAACCCAGAGAATTTAAAAAACAAAAAACAAAAAACTGAAGCTGAAGTTAGATATTCCTATATTTAGAGAGGAAAATGGCTTGACAACTTCCTGCGAAATAAGGACCACCAAAGTTCCAATTCCTTAGTTTGGTCAGCTAAGAAGATAGATTATATTTGAAACATTTTGACTTCAGGCCTTGTCACACTAAAAAATAATGAAGGTGTTCCCTCCAGAACATTTTCCAATGAAAAAAAATGTGTTAAGTTTTAGAAGGACTGAAGGGATTTAAGTTTAGATTAGTATTACTCCAAGTGTGGTTTGAAGATTAGCTACCACCTGCAAACTATTAGTGATCCATATGAGATAGAGTTTGTGCCAAACCCTTATCAATCACAAACCATCACAAACTAAGCACGATACTTGGCTCAGCTGATAATTTTTTCATTGCAAGTCTTTCTCAGTGAAGGAAGGCACAAGTTGATGTTCATTCGAGCGCAAGATCCTTATATTGTCATGGGCCAGCACTGGGTCTAAGCCAGGGCTATAACAATGATCTAGCCCTGGCTAGATCATTTTGGCTTTACAATAATTATTCAGGCCAAATTAATGCTCTTCTTTTTTTCCTTTTTGAGACAGAGTCTTGCTCTGTCACCCAGGCTGGACTGCAGTGGCGTGATCTCAGCTCACTGCAACCTCCGCCTCCAGTGTTCAAGCAAATCTCCTGCCTCAGCCTCCTGAGTAGCTGGGATTACAGGCGTGCGCACCCACGCCCAGCTAATTTTTGCATTTTTAGTAGAGACGGGATTTCACCATATTGGCTGCTCTCAAACTCCTGACCTAAGGTGATCCACCTGCCTTGGCCTCCCAAAGTGCTGGGATTGCAGGCGTGAGCCACCATGCCCGGCCTCATTAATGCTCTTTTCTTTAGGAGCAGAACATTTCCATAGACTTAGCATTTCCATTATTCCAGAGTATTCCTGCAAAGCAATCACCCATCTTCTTTACCCTCCCTGATTCACGTGTGAGTCGTTCATTAGGCTACCAGAGCCCCTTTCATTTTACGCATGAGGACACTGAGAAAAGACTGAACCACCCAGTGCCATTAGTGACCTGGTCCTCAGGACTGGAAACCCTGTTAGGCCTTGCTGGCTGATTCAGGAAGAGGATTACCTGACAACTTCAGAAATGAGAATGTCTGTGTGTCCTGAGCCAGCAGAAGCTATGGGCCATTCCTGTGGGCCTCCTACTTAAATTAGAACTAGGGAATCTTTTAACCAGTTCTATTAGCTTTTCTTTGAAACATACCAAGTTTACCACTTACTCTTATTAGCTTTAACATTCATACAGTCTATAAAGTAGAAAGAATCTTAAAATAGTACATGTTTGGAATATCAGATAATTTTTCAAAGTGCAAAAGAACTGGGCCAGGCGCAGTGGCTCATGCCTATAATCCCAGCACTTTGGGAGGCCGAGGCAGGTGGATCACCTGGAGTCAGGAGCTCAAGACCAGCCTGGCCAGCATGGTGAAATCTCATCTCTACTAAAAAGACAAAAATTAGCCAGGCGTGGTGGCGGGTGCCTGTAATCCCAGCTGCTTGGGAGGCTGAGACAGGAGAATCGCTTGAACCCGGGAGGCAGAGGTTGCAGTGAGCCAAGATCGCACCATTGCACTCTAGCCTGTGTGACAAGAGCAAAACTCTATCTCAAAAACAAAACAAAACTAAAAAAGAACTGAACTTACAACAAAAGGTGGGGGAAGCAATTATATCATAAAGGAATTTTATGATCCCTTTAAAATTATCCTAGAATTAATTGTACACACAGAGGAAAGAAAGTTAATAGTTCCAAATTAATCTCCATCTTGGCATTCTGTTTTTAAAGGAGATTACTACACCAATTCAAATCTTCAACCTTGATCAAGTACAAATTTTTAAGACGTGTGTTCTAATTGCTTAGCTAATTAACTGGTATGAATCTTTGCAGCTTGTGGATTTTGGGTGGGGTTTTTTTGGACCCAGAAATTATCCAGAATCACACATCAGTGAAATAGAGTTATGAAGCCACTTCCTATTTCTGGAATCATTTAGACTTGCAACCTGCAAGCTGTTTAATGCCCCTCCTGCCCATCTTCTCTGCCTTACACTGTGGGGACCACAGGGTTTCTCATTCTGAGAACATGACTTCACGAGGACTAACAGTGCTGGTGATAGGTTTGGGAGAGGGTCTTTCTCCCTCTCCTGTGGACCAGGAACTATGCCTCCAAGGTGGCTCCTTACACCCATATAAATGTGGGATGGAGTCTGGAGACCTTAGAATGGCCCTTCAGTGTAAACTCTGAAGGTTAGTGCCAGAAGAAGGTGGTCAACTTCCTGAGTGGCCTGGGGTCAAGGAGATCATTTTCACCCTAAGAGACTCTCGTTAGTCTGGAAGACACCGACTATAGAAATCTAGGCAATGACAAACTGCTGCCATTTTCCTTGTATGATCTTTTTTCAGGCAGCTTGGGGTGGAGGATTACTGATGTCCCGAAAACACAAGTGGAAACTGAGTGGCGTGGAGAGGTATGTTGCATTTTTCTTATTAACAACATAAAGTCATAAAGTGTTAAAAGCTAACTGTGAAACACAAATTACAATCAATTTCCAGGAACTCTTGGAATACTGAGGGAGCTCACTCTATTCAGTGCTTTTGTTCCTTGCCTTATGTGATGTTACACTCATGAATATGGGTAAACAACAGAAAAATCAAATATGTAAATATTATGTGTAAACAACAGAAAAATCAGAATACACATCAAGTGACCCAGGTAGAATGTCTTCCAGACATAGAGATTCCTATCTAGGGTCTATTCCTGGGATCTCTGAACCACAAAAATTGTTTAAAACCTGCAGGCAACCCACGTTTTTCTAGGGAGAAGATTTATAGCTTTCATGTTTCATAAAAGGATAATATCCACTGCTTAAAAAAATAATAATAATAATTTTGCAAAGCAAATAAGCACCTTGTAACTTATCAGTGTTGAAAGTTTGGGCTTGGGGTCTAAGATGGCCAGTTCACTTAAAGTGAAACATACTAGCAATAGCCTCATCTCATGGTTTCATTCCCGGAATAACCTTTCTCTGACAAAGCTCCGACTGATGCTGCAAAGCACCTTTTATTTAGAGCCTACGCAGAAGACTGTTGAGAAATGCTGAAAAACATGAAGGCAGTGATATCTGATTAGCATAAACCACTTTCAGGTCCAAAGAAAAGAGAAAAACAGAATGCAAAATACAGGCTCTGGTTCTGAACCACATGCAAGGGGAGCCCAGTTCTCTCATCACAACACGGCAGGTCAGACACAATGGTGAGCTCTGACACTCCAGGCGACTAAGAAAACCTGAATTCATCAGAGGCTGCCAAATGCCCACCATCCCCTGCCAAGTCCCCAGTTGCTGCCCAGCAAAAGCGTCACACTGGCTCTGCCACTAGACATCTTGGCACAGTTTCTGTTCCAGGACAAGGAGAGACGCTGATGGAGCGCAGAAGCACTTGTGAGCCCTGGGCATGCGGGAGGCCCAGGCCAGAGTGGCTGTGTAGGGTGTGTGATGTGACACCCGGGCCTAAAACGCACAGAGAGCCCGTGAGTGTGGAAAGAGAGGGGTGGGGTTACTAGGCTGGAGTCAAGAGCGTCCCGCTGAATTAATGGAAAGAAAGCAAAAAACAGTTGGGTTACACCAGCTAAGGCCCATGTCAGAAGGGTCACTGTCCCTGAGTCTGATGGCCGGGGTCAGGACCTGGCCTGGGCACAGCTGGGTTAAGGCACCTGGAGCCCCCCAAGCTCTGATTGCAGGGCCCCATTTAGACGCCGGTGGATGAGGGCAGGCGTGTCTCCCTCCCAGAGTCAGCCAGTGCCAGGCCTCTGCTCTTGGACCTTGGGGCTTCTCCCAGGCCTAATCCCTTTCCATCTTGAAGATCTGCAAGAAAGCAGAAGCTTAAGGAAGAGGCAATGAAGTAAACAGGGAGAGACGAGAGAGAGAAAGAGAACAACTTGAAAGGTGGCTGCCCGCACAATCAGAACAAGAATTAAATTCATGTGCTTTCAAGAGAGGTGGCCTATCTACAGGTCTTTCTCTTCTGTGAGTTTCTGACTGGCACAAAAAGTCTGTTACTTTACCTTTGATGCCACCTGCGACTGCACGTGCTGAAAGTACTGGCACATCTTCCACTTAAAAACTCACTAAATTACCTACCCTGAGCCTTAGAAAAATAAACACCCACACGATTCTGTACCAAAGACTATTATTTGAGAGCAAAGCTTAGAACGTTCATCAGGGAACACAGAGTTCCCTCTTACTGCCACAATTCTTGAAACTGTACTATAACTAAACTTTTCAAATGGAATAACCATATATGAAGTCCTAAAAATGAGGGGGCTACTGGTGTTCCACTCTAAGCAGAATCCCCTTAGCTACCCATTTACCCGAGGATACCCCTCTCTCACTGACTTATTAGCAAAAGGCATACTTTCTAAGTGAATACAGTTGGAAGACCAGTGGAAACCACTTAATGTGTATGGCCGCAAGTTTAGGAAAGAAATGTGTCTCACTTAGGGAATGACATTTTTTTCAAGTTCTGCAAACCAAAGATTAGAACTCACTCTAAAAGTAGAGGAAATCCATGGTCAATTCTTGTCCCCAAATCCAGAGGCTCCTTCGTAGTCACAGGGGATCTGAATGCCATTCTCACACAAAATGGCACAAGGGGACCGGGCACAGTGGCTCTTGCTTGTAATCCCAGGACTTTGGGAGGTGGAGGTGGAAGGATCATTGAGGCCAAGAGTTCAAGACCCATCTGGGTAACAGAGTGAGACTCCATCTCTACAAAATGATTTTTTTTTTAATTAGCCAGGCATGGTGGCATGCATGGCTGTGGTCCTAGCTAGTCAGGAGACTGCGTGAGGCAGGAGGATCACTGGAGCCCAGGAATTCAAGGCTACAGTGAGCTATGATGGCACCACTGCACTCCAGCCTGGGCAACAGAGTGAGACCCCATCTCTAAAAAAATTAAAACAATAAAATAAATAAATAAATAAAATGGCACAAACATCTGGAGCCCTGTCTGGCATCCCCTTTGAGAACCAACCAAATTCTCAGAAAACAGCTCTTTTCCTTGCTAGCACTGTCAAAATGTCTAGAGATGGTGCTGCTGAGAGGGCACACCACAAGCCCTGAGACTCCAGAGCATGACTCTGTGTATTGTATTTTTATTTCTTTTTAGTTTTATTTATTTATTTTTGAGGTGGAGTCTCACTCTGTCACCCAGGCTGGAGTGTGGCGGTGCAATCTTGCCTCACTGCAACCTCTGCCTCCTGGGTTCAAGCAATTCTCCTGCCTCAACTTCCTGAGTAGCTGGGGTTACAGGTATGCACTGCCATGCCTGGCCAATTTGTTTGTTTGTTTGTTTGTTTGCTTGTTTGTATTTTTAGTAGAGATGGGGTTTCACCATGTTGGCCAGGCTGATCTTGAACTCCTGACCCCAAGTGATCTACTCGACTCAGCCTCCCAAAATGCTGGTATCACAGGCGTGAGCCACCACACTGGCCTCTGCATCATACTGACTCATCTTTAGTCCCTCCTGCCCACTGGCTGCTGCTTACCGTAATCATCCTCTGATATGTTGCACTCTCAAGGCTTTCAGTCCCAGCTGAAGGTGCTGGTGCAGTTTCTGCCGCATCACCAGTTACCCTCACACCTGCCCTGAGAGTCAGGTGTTCAGGATTTAATTCGATCATTGCTGAACCTCTGTCATATGCAAGTCACAGCGCATGGCACTGCGTGGGTGCAGAGACGGGTATGGTATAAAGCCTATCTTCAAGGAGTTTAGAATCTAGTGGGGAAGATTGTCAGTGAACGGTGGATTAAAATTCAAAGCAAGGAAGCAAAGACTGGAGAGACAGACATGGGAGCTGATTGGAGAGCACAGAGAAAGGAATGGTTCCTTCTGTGATTACAGAGAGGTTTCGCCAAGCAGAGCAGCATCGGAGCTGAGCATCACGGCATACAGGGTACTTCATCGGGCAGAAATGGAAAAGGGCATTCAGGCTGAAGAGACACGGAAGTGTGAAAGTGCACAATGTCTTGGAGAAAGTTCAAACAAGTTTGGCTGGAGGATGACATGGTTTCACAGCAGTGGCCAGGTCATGGGTGGAAAGTACAGAAGTCTTGGCCAGCCCCCAGGGCCTTCCCACAGAGCCAGGTCAGAATCCACGGGGCTTCTTTCCACGAAACATAGATCCCTGAGCTGGGAGTCACTGCTGTGTGGCTGCCATGATGCGTGGAGATGATTAGATTCCTTGGGGGGACAAAACCCATCGAAAACCTTTGCTGCAGGAGCCCTGGCAGGCTTTGAGCAGAGGTACAATGTGATCTCACCTGTGTTCTGGCGTTAACTCCGCATTAGAGAGGAGATGGGAGCCAGGGACAGACTGGAAGCTGTTAAGCTCTTAGGAACGTCCAGGTGCAGGACAGGAGAGAAGCTGAGTGTGACTTAAGCTGTAGTAGCAGAGAAGGAAGTAAGTGGATGGACCTAGGAGACGGGGAGAGAGAATCTAAGGGGCAATATCAAGACAGGGGGAAGAAGAGTGAAACCAAGGACGACAGTGAGGTTTGGAGGCTGGAGGCCTGGAAGGAAAGTGGTGCCAGGAACACAGAATATAGAGGAGAAAGAATCAATCTAGAAGGTTGAGCAGTGGCGAGTGGGGCCTATGGATTTGAGGCACAAATAAGAGCACAGGGAGATGTCTTACAACAGCCCTGCGGGATTCCGTTCTCTCCAACTTACACAAACTGCAGAAGCCACATGACCGAATCCCACAGCAAAGCGTTTTAAAATGAACCTGAGGCTGTTTTTTTGGTTTTTTGTTTTTTGCTTTTAACAAATTGCCAACATTTCTCAAATCAAGGCCATGTCATCGAATCCATCTGCAGGGCTTTTTGCCATCTTTATGCCTCTGAGAGAGAGGTGGGACAGGGAATTCAGTGACAGGTAGTTGTGAGCCTTGGCAGCTTCTCTTCTGAAAAGACAAATAGGCCCCCGCATAGAGATAAACACCACAGTCAGACATGGAAGGCAGCTGGTTTTCTCTCCCATCGGGCATTCTTATTGACAAAGCTGAGTTTATCAGAGTTAGACATCTAGCCGTAGAACATGATGGAATGTATAGAATGGCTGTGTGTACATACGTGCACGGTGTCACCAAGTTCACAAATGACAGAGATGAAATCCATAGCAAAAGCCAACCTTATTTAATGCTCACTGCCTGTTAAGCACAGTTCTAAGCACTTTACCTAAATATTTATTACTATTCTCCTTTTCTAGATGAGGAAATCTAGGCACAGAGAGGTTAAGTAACTTGCTCAAAGTCACACAGCTAGGAAGTGATGAAACCTGAATGAAAACGCGTACTATCTGGCTCCTGAGAGCTTCCCCCTTAACTATTATGTCTGCTTTATAGCCTAGGGTCCTGACTCCAGGGTCATTCTACAGAGCAAGGAGATATTTTCTTGGAGGGAACTTTCAGTACCTCAATGCTATTATTATTCATTAAGTCATTTAGTCTTCTCTCCAGGGGTAGTTATCTGACCATGAACTGCCTTTGCTTCTAGTTCCTCAATCCCAGTCATAAATGTATCTGACAACCAGTGTCAGAGCCAGAGAAAGACCAGAAGCTGAGCTAGACTATTCGTTGGCTCAGATAAGATCCCCAGGCCAGTGAGCGCTCTGACTGACTGACACATGCCCTTCATCAAATGAATGAATGGGGTCTTTCCCAGCTTCTCATTTTTTCCCAAGGCTGTCATACCCAGAGAGGTGGGAACTGGGTGAGCCCACGTCCGTAGTATGGCCAGATGGGGCTGCAATCCATGGCTGTCTGGAGGCAACTGCCACGGGTTATTCTACTGTAATACTTGCCTTCCTCCTTTATGCCACTCATGAAACTCCACTGCCAGGACCCCTCCGTCTCTCCGGAGACAAGCACAGAGGCTCACTTTACCCAGTAAATGTATGAAGTGAGCCATGGCATTCACAGTGGGAGCAGTTGCTTTTCCCAGAATCAAAAGAGGAGCACAGTGGACGTGCGGGAGAGAAGTCGCAGAAGTTAAACAAGGCCACAGAGATCATACTGAAAGAATCTGGGGCCTTAAAAAATTAACCAAGATTCAACAAAGTGAAGCAAAGGGAGATGGTGTTCCAGGAAGAGGAAATAGCGTAATGAGACCCAGCAGTATGATGATAGAATGCTCTGAGAACAAAAGATAATCTGGCATGATGAAATGGATAAAGAAAAGCGAAAGGACACAAGACCTAAGGCGTAGCTAGGGCTTGCCCCAAGGGCTGCGGGAGCCATACCTTGCAGTTTGGAATTTGGGCTGGAGGAGAAAGAAAACTGTCAGTGATTTCAGAGAAGGAGAGGGCCATAAGCAGAGATCGAAAATAATTCTGGTGCCAAGTGAAGGATGAAATGGAGACCGAGTCAGTTACAACACAATTGCTGAATCCAGATTAAAATAATGAGAATTATTATTAAAGGAATCTGAACCAGGACTACAGCCCAGACTTTTGAAATCATGTAAATTCCTGAGCAGGGAATCTCTGCTGTGTGAGCCACTGTTGCTGATGAGAGAGCATCAAATTTCCCCAAGGTGTGAGGCAAAAAAAAGACGGAACTCTCCCCTGCTGTGGGAGCCACAGCACATCTCATCTGCAGTCTGGAAAGAAAATAACTCTGGATTAGGAAACAGATGGAAGCACGGGCCTCGCCAGAAGCTACTACGAAAGGACGCATTTGAGAAATTAGGCATCAATTGATTAGAAAGGAAAAATCGAGTTAAGCAGTGAAATGAGCCCTGTCTTTGAGTTCCAGGCCACCGCGATAGCAAGGACCACAGAGGTACAGGAGGCAGCCGCCCTCTCTGGCCAGGTGCTCTGGCCATCACTGGCCAAAGGAGAGACTCTGGACTGGATGATCCCAATGACTCTAAGCTGTGCCCTGAGACCACTGTGGAGGCAGGGTGCATGCCGCCACTGGAGCTGGGGCACGCCACATGGAGACCCACACCCTCACCTGCTATTTCTGTGGACAAAGAAAAGTTGCAGTGTGAACTCCGAAAAACTGAGATAGGTCTCGGTTAATTTTGAAAGTTTATTTGGCCAGGGTTGAGGACTCACGCCTGTGACACAGCCTCAGGTGGTCCTGACAACATGTGCACCAGGTGGTCAGAGCACAGTTTGGTTCTATGCATTGTAGAGAGATATAAGACATTGATCAACATATGTAAGATGAACACTGGTGTGATCTGGAAAGTCGGGACAACTCAAAGTGTGGAGGGGCCTTCCAGGTCATGGGTAGATAAGAGACAAATGGTTGCATTCTTTTGAGTTTCTGATTTGCCTTTCCAAAGGAAGCAATCAGATATGCATTTATCTCAGTGAGCAGAGGGGTGACTGAATAGAATGGGAGGACAGGTTTGCCATAAGCAGTTCCCACCCTGACTTTTCCCTTTAGCTTAGTGATTTTGGGGGTCCGAGATATTTTCCTTTCACACATCTTTAAGAGTCTACTTGGTGTTTACTAAATACAGTGTCGTGGGAGCATGGGATGGGGGAGAGGGTTGAAAAATTATCTCTTGGGTACAGTGGTCACTATTTGGGTGCTGGGTACACCAAAAGTCCAGACTTCACCACTACGCCCTATAGGCATATAGGAAATCTACACTTGTACCCCCTCAATCTGTTTAACTTTGTAAATTAAAATAAATACATACATTTAGTGTCGATCTGGATTCTGAGAAACAGTACCAAGAAACTGAAGCTCGGTTGCACATGCCCTGAGCCTGTCAGGGTGGAGTGCCACCCGCTTACGTGATTTGTTTATTTTAGGGCCAACTCTGTGACGTGGAATCCACACAAGATGATGGGAGTCCCTTTGCAGTGTTCTGCTCTCCTGGTTAGAGAAGAGGTATGTCTCTCCTGACGCCGTGTCCCAGTTCGCGCGTGGGTTTGACTGTCTTTATGCGGTTAACTTTCTCTGGAAATGTCAGCATCATCGAGTCTTCTCTATGGGGCTACTCACATTCCCCAGAGAGCCCTTTCTAGATTCCTGTCTGCAGGGTGAACGTCTGGTGCCTAACAGGGAAGAAAGGGTAAGAGGACCTCAACTTTCAGAACATAAACTTTGACCTAATCTCCATGTTTTCAGTATGATACCCCTTTCCTCAACTGTTCCTCCATTCCCCCAATCCAGAGACCCTCTATGTCACTCTCTCAAAAAATTAAATTTCCAGGTTTTTTTTTTTTCTGGAATCTGAGAGATCATTTTTCCTATATAAGAAATATACATGATATAGGATTCTGGTTAGTGTTAGGATCCAGGTCCATAACATGTATGTGTATGTGTGTGTGTTCTGTCTCTCATGATTACAGTCTATCTATTCAATATTTAAAGCCATGTTCAGAGTGTAAGGAAGCTGCATCCTTATTAACCAGAAAAGAGAAGCAGCATCAACGAGCACTTTCATTCAAGATGGTTCTGTTGACCAGGCCTAGGGCCGTTCTCAGTAGGTGAGCACTGTTGGTCAAGGCCACTGCATCTCCCTTCCATGACGCCAGGCTGGACTCATAGTTCCTCACTCCTGCATTTATTTTGTTGATGAAACCCAAATAAGGAGCTTCAGATGATCCCCATTAAATTTTATTTTCTTAGCCTTAATAAAGCAACCCCAGATTAAAAGAATTTTTAAATGTTGATCTTCATTTACTTTTTTTTTTTTTTTTTTTTTTTTGAGACAGAGTCTCATTCTGTCACCCAGGCTGGAGTGAAGGATGGTGTGATGTTGGCTCACTGTAATCTCTGCCTCCTGGGTTCAAGTGATTGTCATGCCCAGTCTCCCAAATAGCTGGGACTACAGGTGCCCACCACCACACCTGGCTAATTTTTGTGATTTTACTAGAGAGAGGGTTTCGCCGTGTTGGCCAGGTTGGTCAAGAGCTCCTGGCCTCAAGTGATCCATCCACCTCAGCCTTTCAGAGTGCTGGATCACAGGCATGAGCCACCGTGCCCAGCCAAATATCTATCTTCATTTACTTAAAAATACTTTGCTTTTTTTCTAATTATACAGTTAACACACTATGTCAGAAAGTTGAGGCAGAACAGAAAATATAAATAAATTTAGAGTCACCTCAAATTTTTATAACTTAGGGATAACCATTATTACCATTTTTAATATTTTCTCCCACAATTTTTTCTAGAAATAAACATATTTAAAATATATAAATAAATATATATTTATAATAAAATTGCTGTCATCTACCTCATATACTTCATATATACATGTTGATTCTTCTTTATACTTTGCATTATATTATGAGCATGATCTTCCAAAACCTAATTTGTAATGGCCTCATATTATTCTATCACATAATTCAGTGAACCATATCTCTATGGTTAAAATATTAACCACAACAGAGTGACTTGATGGAATCCTTAAACATATACCTTTGATCACATTCCTGATTATTTTCTCAAAGTAGACTCAAAGTGGGATTGCTGGGTCAAAGAGTGTTACCACTTCTGTGGTTCGTTCTTAATACCTCATGTTGTCAAATGCAAATTTACACAGCACGCCTTCTGTGTCTTCATCAGTAATAAAAATATGGACACAAGATTGAAGACAGAAACTTCCCCTCAAAATGAGATGAATGCATTGGAAAATATCCTTTTGGACTGGGTTTTCATCAGTTAAAAATACGGTCCAATGTATTATCATCTGCCCTAGCTCATGCAAGCCTCAGCTATAATTACCTCAAAGGAGAAAATAAATTTTTGTTATTTAGATTTCAGCCAGATGTTTTGACAGTGGCTCCCATCATGTCCTTACAGACCAAAAGGGAAATGTGAGCTGGAGGAAAATAGAAAGATTTGGAACTGATTAGATGACTGCATCGGAAGGACCTACGGACTGGCAATTTGATGTTACCCAGGATAGAGCCTATGGCTTGGTACCTAACCTGTACCATTCAGAATATTCACAGACTGTTTGATTAAAACATAGAAGCTAATTAATGTTTCAGATGGGAGGAGACTGGGAGGTAGAGTAAATGTGTGTAGGGATGGAATCAGAATACAAGATGATTTTTACAGACTGGACCAGTGAGCCACATCCAAAAAGGGACATTGTTATTGGAGATCATTGTAAGGCTCTGCTCTTAGGTCCGTGTATACTGTGGTTATATTTTGATTGGACAAGGAAGGCTTGTTTCTACAGCTAAATTGTTGGACTTGTGAAAAAGGCAAAGGATGGTAGCTCTACAGGGTCAACAACGAGTCAAGAGAAAAATGCCACACAAAAGACATTAATGAGATACAGGAAGTGGAGTTTCAGCATGAGAAGGTGGTGGTCTCCCACTCTCCTCTAGTTAAACCATACCCGCAGTGCTCTGCTTTGCTCTGTACCAAATTGTCCATGGGGTTCCATCAAGCTAGATCCCAAACAGTGGGGACCAATTGGTAAACGTGTAAGAGGGATGATTGAAACAACTAAGGATGTTTAGCCTAGGGAGGAAAAGAAAAGAAAAGGGCCGAGAGGAGGATGGCAGCCTTCACCATTTAGAGGACTCTCAAATGGAAGAGACTGGGGTTTTCGTTGAGGCTTTGGGGAGCTGGTTTAGTAAACACCGGGTGGTAGAGATTTGATGGCAAAATCAGTACATCCTGCGACTTTAGGTCTGTTTTGGGTTCAATAAAAGGAACACTTCTAAAAATTAAACTGTCCAACAGTAGGAATAAATTAATAAGGGGAGGTGATTAAATAGAGAGATTGGACAGCCACTTATTAGGAAGAGTGTAGAAATGATTCCTTTATTGAGTAGGAGTAAATGAGCTCTAAATTCCCTCACAAATCCAAGAGTTTATGATGCTCTGACAGCATTTCTTTTATTGGCATCCAAGGAACAGTGCTGTTCCACAAGATGGTAATAAGGGTTCCCCAATAAGAGAGTTCTCAGTTTTAAAAAGGCTGGGATATATTGGTTTAGAGTTTAAAACAACTTACATTATTTCAGGGCTTATTGGGGCCCTTAATAGGCTGATATGTATTGCAATATCTAAAAAGAAAGACTAGATGATATAGAGTTTCCTACATTTATTTGAGCATGGGAATCTCTTTATGTACAGCAACTATTAATGTGTTTTAAAACACATCAGTTTGGGACATGATGGTCTATAACCTTTTCATGGCTCATGGCTCAGAACCAGGACATCATCTCACTAAGACCTTCTGTAGGAAAAATAGCATCACTTTTGCTTGTCATGTTGTACAATAATGAGACTGTGGCTGTCCAGCTTTTTTTTTTTTTTTTTTTTTTTGAGACGTGGTCTCTTTCTGCCACCCAGGCTGAAGTGCAGTGACGTGATCCCAGCTCACCGCAACCTCCACCTCCCGGGTTCGCGCCATTCTCCTGCTTCAGCCTCCCAAGTAGCTGGAGCTACAGGTGCCCACCACCAGGCCCAGCTAATCTTTTGTATTTTTAATAGAGACAGGGTTTCACTGTGTTAGCCAGGATGGTCTTGATTTCCTGATCCCGTGATCCGCCTGCCTCTGCCTCCCAAAGTGTTGGGATTACAGGCGTGAGCCACCATGCCCGGCCGTCCAGCTTTTTTAGGGCTCACGTGTTTTTGAGTTATTTTTTTCTATCACAGTAGGAGTAGGTCTGATCCTTTCAGCATTCCACACTCTCTGAAGTGGTCTTCCTTAGTATTGATGGCGCCAGTGTGTGAGCGTGCATGGCCAGAGGAATAATGGTACAAAGTTTCTGTGACCATGAAACCAAATAAAAGCGAGTGTTGCAAATTTTCACGTTATTGGTCTTCAAGTGAATTTTCTTTTTCGAGTTCAGTATATTTCTACTGATCTAATACAAATGCATCGTATTTAATTTTTCTTATTCTGAAAAATAATGAATGGATTCCAATATATGTGAAGCCTAAACTACAAGATAGAGTCCAGTTCTGTCGTCTACCATTTCAACACTCCGTCTTTCAAAACCAAATTAAAACTGTAATTGCATTGCATTGTGTTTTAGTGTGGACAGTTTTCAGAAGTGTTCTCACTTCTAACTTCAACTAAGTGATCACACTTTAGTCTTGTCTTCTTTTGTCATGAATCACAAAAGAAACAAAACCAAATGCCAAAGCTTTTGTGAAATCACAATTAGAAGAGAACAAAATAGTCAGAGGCATCCAGTGGTTCGTGACAAATTGAAACACAGGGTTTTTAGTGAAGAGACTGGCGATACTATTTTAGTCGGAAAACATGATTCAGTCACTATTCTGTGGAATAATTCAATCACTTTGCCACCCATTTCCATAGTAAGGTTACAGTGCTAGGACAAATGAATGGCCATTGACGATGAGACTTTCCACTTAACTATCTCAAGGAATTGAGCATGCGAACGCAGCACTGAAGCTCTGACCGTTCTTGAGAGAGGAACATGACATTTGAAAGATTGGTTATTTAAATTCATCTCAAAATTGCAATGTGTGTGTGTGGCTTTTTTTTTTTTTTTTTTTTTTTTTGTAGATTTCAGCATATAAACATGATAGCAATGAGCTGTCTTAAAAGTCATGATTTCCAAAGGCAGCTCAAACTCCCTAACAGCTAAATGATAAAGTACTTGAACTAGATATGGATGGAAATACTAGAAGAACCACACCAATAATATTTCACAAAACCAAAGAGTTTCCAAAATATTTTAATCACAACGAAACCAGAATAGTAGGATGTTCTCCCAAAGAAAGAGAACATTTAAATATAAATGTGTGCTCTGATTATGATTTTTATTTATCAGTTGATTTTTACAAATGCCTTCTCTTAAAAGGGAGAGTAAAAGTGTAAACGTGTCCTTGCTAACCTCCATGACATTTGACCCTGAGCCATTGTCCCACAGAGTTGACCATTACAACAACCTAGACACTCCTGTCCAGAATTCTTTTTTTGTTTTGTTTTCTTTCTCTAAGATATGCAATGTCTCTTACTTTTATTTTTTTCTTATTAATTTTTACCAATATAAATCTAATGAGTTATCAGTAGAATTTCCTAAATTTTCTCTTCTCTCTTGTAGGGATTGATGCAGAATTGCAACCAAATGCATGCCTCCTACCTCTTTCAGCAAGATAAACATTATGACCTGTCCTATGACACTGGAGATAAGGCCTTACAGTGTGGACGCCACGTTGATGTTTTCAAACTATGGCTGATGTGGAGGGCAAAGGTGAGTGTGTATGGACCAGCTAAATGACAACTAATCTGGTCACCGCTATTATGAAATATCAAAAAAGTGATTTCCAAATTGAAATTCCTTACCCAAGATTTGCTTTCTCTTTTTTTTTTTTTTGAGAGGAGTCTCTCACTCTGTCACCCAGGCTGGAGTGCAGTGGTGCGATCTCGGTTCACTGTGAGCTCCACCTCCCGAGTTCACATCATTCTCCTGCCTCAGCCTCCCTAGTAGCTGGGACTACAGGCGCCCGCCACCATGCCTGGCTAATATTTTTTTCGTATTTTTTAGTAGAGATGGGGTTTCACCGTGTTAGCCAGGATGGTCTTGATCTCCTGACGTCATGATCCGCCTGCCTCGGCCTCCCAGAGTGCTGGGATTACAGGCGTGAGCCACCGCGCCCGACCTTGCTTTCTTTAAACTTAACATCTAAATACCTTCATTCAACATGAGGAAAAATATAATCAAAACCATTGTTTGTTTCTTTTCTAGCCAAATTGATTCAAATGCTCACTCATCTAGAAAACAAATCCATTTTGCTTTATATAGCAGAACAGCTTGAATTTTAACAGGTGTTTATTGTTATTGTTGGTTTTTGTCTGCTAACGTGGTTTTTACCCAGTGATTGATCACCTGGGTAGGTGAATGCGCTCTGAAAGCATAGGTTTGGAGAACAAAAAAGAAAAAGTAAAAAGCCCACCATGATAGCTTATTTTTTGACATTTCAAGGGATAACTTCTAGTTACAAAGCTTTTTTCCCCCTCATCTCCCAAAATACCTACTCACCTCCTTTTATGTAGGTTCTGTGTTTCCCTCTGAATTTAACTGTAGGTGATCCCTCCTTTTTTCAGCAAGGAAAGCTCACTAACTAACAGTGTGCAGGACTTGCTTGGACCTAATTGTAGCCTTCCAGGAGCCTACGTTTATGTTTAAATGTAAGCAGGCTGGATAGGTCAAAGATTTTATTTTTAATTTTGACCAGATTCTTAACTTAAAGGTCACAAATTAGTGCCTGCCCAGCCAGCTTCATTTATCTCCTGCAGGAGATAAATAGACAGAGCTAGCTGTATATACTGTAGAAGCTCAAATGCAAAAAGAGGATTCGAGGAAACCTGACATAAGAGAGTGAGAAAGGGAGCAATTAAAGATGTCAACCTTAATAACAGAGTCTCTCTAAAGGAAAAGATGTTGATTTGGAAATAAAGCATTACAATGGGAATACATACGCCATAGTAAACTGTATGCAAATTCAAAGGAGGTAAAGGAAGACAAAAGTTTTTAAAGGAAGAAATGTGGAAGAGTACATAATTGTTTTGAGATAAATATCCTTGGTTACAAAGATCAATAACAAGGGTGATGCAGTCCGAGGCTGGATAGGCAATTGCTAGGCAGATGTCTTTGCAGAAGTATTTTTTTGTGTGTGTAAGGTTGTGGTGACCTTTGAGCAAGGTTATAATTTTTGCAGTCTTCTGTGACAGTTTTTGTTATCCGGTATACAAGGCATGAGAACCCTCTCTTCATGGTTTCCTCTGGCTCTGTCTATCAGGGTTTTCTTAACATTCGTGACTCCATTTTTATTCTAATGGTGTTCACAAGGGAAAGCTGGGATACCATGAGGTCCTTTATGTTTGGTGGAAAGGATATACATTTGGCTCTCAGGTGTGTAAATAGCCTACTTAAAGAAGTAACATGCTCAGTCCCATAAGAAAATGCCAATAACTTGGTCAGCAGGAGTGAAGTGTACCAGGGTAAGACCAGTGAATGGGATCTTCTGCAAGTCTGTGTAAAAAGGTAGGAACCTTGTCCACGGCAATGAATTCCTTGTGCTTTTGTTTATAATTTTGTTAAAGTAACCTAAATTACTTTAAGCAGCTTAGATGATGGGGTTCTTAACAAGAAAAAGAGGGAGTTTTTGAGTGAAGCAATGCAATCCACAAGTATTTTATGGAATCTCCTTTAAGTCCATTCTGGCAAAAAGGTGCAGTTTAAACAGAAAGATGGTCTTGCTTAATGAAGAAGTAACTCTTGGGTGGTTTCCAGGGATGGCTGGACTGTACGTCCTTCAGGGAAGCCTGCTTAATGGTGTTTACTCCAGCAGAACGTTTTTTACATGTTGCTAAATATCAGGCAGCTACAAGAAGCTGAATATCAGAGGCTTTACATGAAGTGAAGCTCCACAGTGTTGCCCGGTAATGGTGGAGTGATGGGCCCCCTTCCTCTTTTGAAAATTGACAGCCCAACAACGACAGGTCCCTGGTCCCCGCCACCCAATGGGAGACTCATTCTGCTAGCAATGACACTTTCATTTGGAAGAAAAACCCAAAGCAATCAAGAATGTAAAGTATTGATGTACCTCCAAGCTGCTTTAAAATGAGCAGGTCTTTCATTTCATTGATTGGTGGGGATTACAAAATGATTAATGTAAATATCAGGTAGCAAGCTGAGAAAACCTTGATTTCTGAATATTGTGCCATGTTCCCTCTTACTTCAAGGATCATTCTTTGTGTCTTTTTTCCCCTGTGGTGTTTTTATTAAGATAATGATCATCAGCAATATTTACACAAAAATGTTTCTGTCACGGTTCATCAGATTCTGCTGCTCCCTTTCCATCTGAAGCCTCCTCTCCAGCAGGGGCAGCCCAGGTTCTTAGAGAAATAACATGGAGGGTATCAAGTGTGAATCGAACAGCAGGACCAGATGAAGCCGGAAATAAAGGGAAGGGCCCCATGAAGTCACTGGGGAAGGGGATAAAAAGAGGAAATCACAGCCACTGCATTACTTATTCTTTTACTTCTTTGTGGAAATACCTCAAATATCTAGACATCTAAGTGGCAAAAACTTACACTTTGTTTTCAATCTAAACCTTTGTATTTTTTTTTGAAAAATGAAATGATAATCATTATTAAAGTAATAAGCTTAGTTCTACAATCTAGATAAAAGGTGAGGATAATTGTACTCTCACATCAAAGCTCTCCCTCTAGCCATGCCGGCCAAGGAAGAAGTCATCCTTTTCCCGCAACAAGAGCCATGAAAGAGTTGGCTATGATGTTGAATCTTGCCTCCCCACAGGAATGAGGAAACAATCTGGATAAGAGTAAGGAGGAGGAGGAGGAAGAACATAGCATTAATTCAGTAAGCCCTCTGTGATCAGACCTGCCTGGAGAATTCGGTGTTTTCCACATTTTCTCCTAAGAAAAACCCCATGAAAAATAGCCTAAGTATAAATTATTATTATTTGAACTAATCTGCTAATGACTAATGGAGCTAAATGCACTGATGACAGCCATCATATTAAGTCCAAATTAACTTGATTAGAACAAATTTATGCAAAAAATAAGACCCCTGATTTAGGATGCTAAGAGGCATACTAGCTGGTTAAGATATGGATGTTTATCATCAGCAGAGGCCCAGTGCCTACTCTCGACACTCTTATTACGGAGTCGGCCTTTCATTTTGTCTGCATTTTATTAAATAATCCTAGGACCTAATGATTACTTCCCAATGTTGACAGATTCCTACAGTGGCTAAAACTCAGTAGCCAACAAAAGTAAGTAAATAAACTTAAAATTACATCTCCCCAACACTTTTTTTTTTTTTTTTTGAGATGGAGTCTCGCTCTGTTGCCCAGGCTGGAATGCAGTGGTGCAATCTCAGCTCACTGCAGCCTCCATCTCCCGGGTTCAAGCAATTCTCCTACTTTCCCTTTTTAGGCCTACAGGAATGGCTTCATTTATAACAACCAGGGTTTCATAGCAAATCTCTGTGTTTGTATATAGTCATACAAATCAGCAGTTTTCCTTGGGTTTTTTATGATTAGCTTTGCTAATTAAAAATGTGGAAAAAGAGGGACTGGCAAATGGCTAGAGGAAAAAAAACACCAGGAAAAAACTTATTAAAGGGAAATGGACATTTGGCATCCTTTGCCGAAAATGACAGAATGTTTACTTTCTGTCTAAAATGAAATTTATTTTAACAAGTAGATATTCAGCATCTATTATCGTGTCTGATACTGAATGGAATAAAGAGGCTCTCATTTTCCGGACAGGATAAGACAAATGCACAGAAATCCATCATAAAAGACAGATTAGGACTGATCACAAAAGAAATCCAGACACATCTGGGGAATTTAAAGGATGGAGAGCTCATTCCTAGTTTAAGAATCGAGATGATTTGCAAAGAGATGGCCTTTGAGATGGGACTTGAACAGGATAGGTAGAAAAAGTAGGATTTCACCCAGCAGTGCTGTGAGAAGGCCATTCCAAGGAGTGGTTGAGCAGGAGTTCAGTGCGTATTATGAGAGTAAGGGAGAGTCTAATTGACTGTGAAGGGCAACTTGGGAGCTACGTTCCAGGTGAGAAGTAACAGAGCCTGAACTAGGGTGGGAGCAGCAAAAATTGAGATAACAGCAAGGGATTCAGTAGTTATTTCAAAAGCACTGTCTCTGGGGCCTGAGAATGTTTATAAAAGCGTTTCAGGAAGCAGAGAATGATCATGACCCACTCCCCAAGACCACATGGAGGCAGCAGCTGAATACTTGGATGGTGAGATTGCTGAAGAAGATCACATAAACATTGTTCATCTTCCTAAAATTCTGGTTTGGGAGTCTGAGGTGGGGCTTAAGAATCTACATTTTTAACACAAATAATCCGGTTCTGATATAGATCATTCCTCAGAACATACTTTGTAAAAGGCTTCAAAGTTATTCACTTATTCATTCAACAAATATACATTGAGCACCTAATATGCGCTCAGCACTGCTCAGAATGTGGAGGATTTAACAGTGAACAAAAGAAACATAAACCTGTGCCCTCATGGAGCATGTGTTGCAGCCAGGTCAATCTCAACTAGTTCTAACGTGTGAGTCAGGAGGAGCTAAATAAAACCGTCTTTCTCCAGAAACTCCCCCAGCGGAATCTTGACACTGGGGTCCAGCCTTTCATTTAGGAGTGCCTGTCCGAGCCTTCAGCATCCTGCACAGGGGTTCAGGCTAAGGGGACGTGATCCCTGATAAAGTTTGACATGTGCTTCTGTCATTCTCACAGTAAGAGCTGCGTGGCATGTGATTTAATGGATGAAAGTATTTAATGAATGAAAGAATTTTGAAGAATCTCTCAAAAGCCTCTAAAACCTTGAAAATAAAATGTGGATCTTAATCCCATAAATATTCAATATGAACGGGAGGCACCCAGGGCACACTAGAGTTTTCCGTGTCACTCCCCATGTATGTCTTTAGCCCCCAACTAATGGGGCAATCACACGACCCCCATCATCCCCATAGCAAGGTCCCAGACCAGGGGAACCAGAGGTCTCACACTCTGGTCTTTAGTAATCCCATTGCTGTTGCAGGGCAAACTCTTCTTCATGGGAAATCAGAGAGGCATCATCATTCCCATCTGATCAGAGAGATTAGCCAATGCCATTCAGCAGGACAGGGTCAGAGTCAGACTGGTCATGCCATATCCAAGATCAGATATGCAAAAGTTTAAACCCAACTCCAGACGGTCCAAAGGATCCAGGTTGGAGAATAGCAATCAGCTTCCCTCCCTTCTACTTACAGTCCATCCCAAGTGAACCCAAACTGTCAAGTCATTCCAAACCAATTATAATCTCCTTAGCACTGACAGACGCACAGAGCTCCTGGTATGGGTGCTGGCCAAGCATCAGGCGTGAGCCCAAGCCCTTCCTGGGGAGGCATCAGGAACCCATCAACCTCCTTGAGCTGATCAGCCAGGGCAGCAGTCTCCAAATAAGTGAATTTCCGAACCCATTTGATTTCTCCAGGGCAGCTTGTTCTTAAACCTGCTTCATACGTCACAAGTCTCTGGGCTCTGTTGGGCGCCCTTAGCTGAGATGATGTGATCTTTTATGAAACAGGCAAGTGGGCCCATCTCATCTCCATTACAATTGCTTTCTCTAGGTTCCCTGCTGGAGAAGTTACTGGTAGGCAGGTTCAAAGTGCTTCTGAGATGAGCATTGGCTTTTTCTCTAAGATTTCTCCATCAGCACCCAGTAAACACCCAAGGAGATAAGAGGAAAGCTATTTTGAAAAGTAACTCTCTTGTGTGTCCCGATGTCAGTTAAAACAGCTCCAGTCCAAGACTGTTGTGTTGGTTTTCCTAAGTCTGGATCCAGGGCTTCCAGAGCCAGAAACTAAAAGAACTCAGTGATAATGTTCACTCATCACAGACACATGAGTCATTTATCTGCCCCTAAAGGAGAACTCTACAGAGCTTGACCGGCTAACAAAGCATCTGGGTACTCCCTAAAATTCCTGCATCCATTTGTTCAAAGAATTCAATGAGTACCTACCCAATTTGTTCCATATCAGGTACACTGGCAGACAAAGATGGGCTCTGGGAATGGAAAATGTACACATTGGAGGGGGACTAAGCAGGCATTCTGGAGGGTCTCCAGTGATGCTTTTTCTCTGCAGGAAGAGAGTAGCCCAGCCCTCCTGTTATTAATGACTTCCATGATTACTCCTGTGAATAGCAGAGGCACATTTTCCCCTTGAGTAGTCAAACTAATTGCCTGGGGAATGGAGGCTCTGGAAGAAAAGGAGTCCCGTGTAGAAAGCAGTAATGAAGGGGAACAAAAGCACCTGACGGGGAGAGCATTAAAGAGAAAACAGCGCTGAAAAAGCCTGTGGAAACAGCCCTGTGTCGGGAAAGTGCCAGACGAGGCTGAGATGGAGGCGGCAGGATGACCATCAGTCTCCAGGGAAATCACTTCCTCCGCACTCTTAGCCTGCCTAATGAGCTGTGTCCTTCTCTTACCTAGGGGACTACCGGGTTTGAAGCACATGTTGATAAATGTTTGGAGTTGGCAGAGTATTTATACAACATCATAAAAAACCGAGAAGGATATGAGATGGTGTTTGATGGGAAGGTATGTATTTGGATTTCTACAATCCCAGAAAGTTTAGTCAATTCCAACCCTCATCACTGATATGATGTAAATGATGTGCTGTCCAGGTAAGTGGGACTGTCACAGAGGGGAGCAGTGGATGACGGGGTAGCTATTCTGAGCTGGAATAAAGACCAAACTCACCAAATAGTCCATAGAACTTTGTCGAAATCATGCCCTCCAATGGCAATTCCTGATTGAAAAGTGGGAATTGTGTTCTGAACCTGCTGAATACATCGATTTGAAATGTTCTTAGAATTTTCAAAATTGCCAGCCTGGGCCAAATATGAATCTTCCTTTCCTCTTTGTAGCCTCAGCACACAAATGTCTGCTTCTGGTACATTCCTCCGAGCTTGCGTACTCTGGAAGACAATGAAGAGAGAATGAGTCGCCTTTCAAAGGTCAGTGCTCCAAGCTCCTCTGATACATGCGTGTATTGAGCCTTTCATGTGCACGTCTTCTTTATGACGTATGCCTGTGGCCTTAGGAGAGAGCCCACCTGGGTGCATGGGCCCACTCCCATCTGTGGACTCCCACAGAGCCAGGACATATAGAACCTGATGTATGCAGACTTTTTTTTTCTATTTTTCTTTTTCTTTTTTTTTTTTTAAGATGGAGTCTCTCTCTGTCTCCCAGGTTGCAATGCAGTGGCGTGATCTCAGCTCACTGCATCCTCCAGCTCCTGGGTTCAAGCAATTCTCTTGCCTCAGCCTCCTGAGTAGCTGGGAATACAGGCACCCGCCACCACGCCCAGCTAATTTTTGTCTTTTTAGTAGAGACGGGGTTTCAATATGTTGGCCAGGCTAGTCTCGAACTCCTGACCTCAGGTGATCTGCCCGCCTTGGCCTCCCAAGTGCTGAGATTACCGGCGTGAGCCACTGCGCCCGACCTATGCAGACTTTTAACAACTCTATTTGCTTGTTTTCTGAGAGTGAGTTTATGATGTCCTAAAAGAAGCAATCAGGCGATAAGCTTTGCTGGCATTCACAAAGCAGCGAGGACATTGCTGAAGTTCATTGCTGTTCCAAGTGAAACTGGTGCTCAGTTACAAGCACAAAAGAGACTTCAGGTACCAGAAATGGTTAGCAAGCAATGCTGCTGCTGACCCTCTTGAGCTGCCAAGACCAAGGCTACCCTGGGGGTGTCCTTAGAGCTGTGATGACCCCCAGAAGGTAGGATGGCAAAGAGCAATAATAATAGCCACTGTTTTCAGTGTGTATTGTGTCCCAGCTCAATATCAGGTGTTAGGTCACTTAAAGCCTCAGAGCAACCTGACATGGGAAGGACTGTCCACCCATCTTGCTGATGGAGAAACTGACACACAGGGAGAAAATGTAACTCCCAAAATCTCACAGAAAGTCTGAGGGCTTGAGCTTTAAATTGTACTGTGGTCAGTAAGACACCCTTTATCTTTCATCCTCTCCTGCTCCTAGCACTTATACACGGATGAAATATGACTTGCAATGCACATCGAAGCGAATATGCAGGAGCTGTCACCATGCGAAACTAGGGATGGTTGTGTAGACTTAGATCTCAGAGTTGATTTGGTTGGTTTGGGGGTTCTTTTCATTTATCATAAAAGAGGGAACCTCCTCCAGTCACTGCCAAAAGCCCTGCAGGCTGTCCCCTCACTGCTCAGGAGTTTGGGCTGCCTCATTGACCTTTGGGAACACTTTAGTTCCTTCTATGTAAAATGAAGAAGAGGATTTTGTGTATATATGAAACCTTCACTGAAGCTTTTACATGTTAACATCTGCCCTTAAGCAACCCAGGATCAAACTCTCATCAGGAGAAAACTTCCACTTGGCTGAGGTCTTTAAACCAAGCCTCCTAATTAGAGTAGTGATTCGCAATCCTGGTCATACATTAGAATCATCCAGAAACTTTATAAAAGACACTAGTGACCAGGTCTCACCCTGAAAATGTAATCAGATTGTGCTTGGATGGGCCTGGGAATGACTGAAAGTTATCCAGATGATTCCAATGTGCAGTTCAGCTAGAGAACCCCTGATCTAGAGGAAAAAATGGAAGAAAGCTTCTAGAACCAGGATCCATGGTGCATGTGTCTGAGGTGGAAGGGGGTGTGGTTGTGTTTGATGATTTAGTGAAGTTGGTTCATTCCAGGAAATCAAGCTCACAAGGTGGGAGGGAATGAGTAGAGGTCGCATTGGATAAGATGATTGGTGCAGGCAGTAACAACGAGAATGGGGGTGCAGGTGTCTGCTGTCATTTAAGAGGAAAAAATTCATATTTTTCCTGGAATTTTTATGGTATACCTTCATAATGTAAAATTTCTTAACAATGACTTATTTAACCAGTTAGTTAGAAATTAGATGCCTCCATTCTTTTTGCCTTTCACTTCCTCATTGAACTGACTGACCAGAAAGAGAATCCACAGACTAGTTTGGCTGATTTCATTTGTTGAATCAGCCTAGTATCACTGGGCTGAGGGATGGAGCAAGATGGGAGTACAGAATAAAAACATTTTTTTCATCATTTTCTGAACAAAAATCAACTCGGAGACTCCCCTGTTTAAATATCACTCTTTAAATGCCTCCTAGGTTTCAGCACCTCGTATGAGCTGTAATGAGGAATGGGGATGGAGATTGTTTCCTGGAGATGGCAATTAGAATATTAGTAAACTGTTTTTATACTGTTGACAATTCAAATACGAAAATCTCCGGGGACTGCAAAATGAATTCTCCTGATTTTTCTCCATTTTTATCATTGTAATCAAGATAATTCAGCAATTCAGATTTGGAAACGAAAATAGAACCACATGAATACCAAGTTTAACTTTTGTTCATCTATGCCAATGATTTTTTTCAGACTTTCTGGAAAGTTCTTTATTAAGTGTGACACCCTTAAAGTATAATGTCCAGGAACCAGTAAAATATTCATACACATGCACACGCGTGCGCGCGCACACACACACACACACACACAGTCCCAGAGGGAAAAGAACTGAGGTGAAATAATCTGTTGTCCAGTATGGTAGTAATAGCCACATGTGGCTCTTCATATTTAAATTTAAATCAATTAAAATTAAATTCAAATTCAACTAAAAATATGGTTCTTCAATCGCACTAGCCACATTTTAGTTGCTCAACTTGTGACCAATGGCTGTTTTATGGGATAGCACAGATATAGAACATGATGGAGATCACTGCACAGAGTTCTCTTGGTCCATGCCGATATAGACCCAAAATGGGGGAAATGTGGAGTTTCCTGTGCAGTTTATGGGAACCAAAAGAACAAAGTTAAATTCTGGACAAGACAAGGCAGAGAATTACTCTTTGTACCATCTTGCCTGATTCATAGCTGTAGTGCACAGTAGGAACTCAAAAATCATTTGTTAGGCTAAAATTGTATCTTAGTCTGGTTGGGCTGCAAAAACAGACTAATATAGACTGGGTAGCTTATAAACACAGAAATTTATTTTGCACTGTTCTAGAGGCTGGGAAGTCCAAGATCAAGGTCCCTGTAGATTCCGTGTTGGGTGGAACCCCTACTTCCTGGTTCATCAATGGCCTTTTCCTCCCTGTATCCTCACATGGCAGAAAGAGGTCAAGGGAGTTCTCTGGGGCCTCTAAGACCGTGCCTTCCTGACCTGATCACCTACCAGAGGCCCCACCTCCTAATATCATCACATTGCGGGGTTAGGATTTCAACATATAAATTTTGGGAGGACAGAAAAATTCCGTCTATAGCAAATACCTTAGGCATATTCCAGAATAAGGAAGGGAAACAACATTTAGGAAACCTAACAGTGGCTCGTAAGCCTTTTTCCAGAGTGCACTAGTTTGGGGACAAATATCTGGATAACAGAAGTTATTAATAAAGCAAGTACAGTCATACCTTCATGGGGGTGGTAAACACGAGAATCCAGTCAGTGTGCTTCCTTCCCTGTCAGGACTATGATCTTGCAGATGGCGCTGTGTCGCTGAGGCAGTGTAGACAATGAATGCTTGGAGCATTATGGGGATGTGACACTGCACACATGCTTTAGACACAGGGAGGGACGCAAGTAGGCTGTGCCAATGTTTACCAAACAAGAATCAAAAGGGCTGGTCTATTGATAACTTCTTGTGTTTCTGGTTCTTCATCTTCTTATTTTAATTTTTGTTATTGTTGATCACTATCTGGTTCTGTCAGCTTTTATAGTCCTACACTGATTGGTGGACTTTTAAAAGGTTAGCAGTGGATTTAATACTAAATTTGTAAGGAAGCAGCCTGGCCTTATATTTAACACAGACTCTTTGAAAGTCTGTGTTATTACATGCAATAGAGGATTTAATTGGTGAAATTTTAGTATTTTAGAATTTTTTTGTTTTGTTTTTAAGACAGGGTCTCACTCTGTTGCCCAGGCTGGAGTACAGTGGTGCCATCTGGGCTCACTGCAAACTCCATCTCTCAGGTTCAAGAGATTCTCCCACCTCAGCCTGCCGAGTAGCTGGGATCACAGGCGCACACCACCACACCCAGCTAATTTTCATATTTTTTGGTCAGGACGGGGTTGGGACGGGGTTTTACCATGTTGGCCAGGCTGGTCTCAAAAGCCTGACCTCAAGTGATCCACTCACCTTAGCCTCCCAAAGTGCCGGGATTATAGGCATGAGTCACCAAGCCTAGCCAATAGTTTAGAATTTCTCATTTAATTATTCTGCTTTTACATTTTTCAAAAATTTCTTGCAGTCTTCCAAAATGTAAAAACAAAAAAGTTTTCTAAGACATCATGAAAAATACATTTCTGTGATATCTTTTTTTTTTTTTTTTTTTTTTTTTTGAGACGGAGTCTCGCTCTGTAGCCCGGGCTGGAGTGCAGTGGCCGGATCTCAGCTCACTGCAAGCTCCGCCTCCCGGGTTTACGCCATTCTCCTGCCTCAGCCTTCTGTGATATCTTTTAAGTTTATTTCATGATGCTTTACTATGCACCCTCTTTGAAAGAGACAAATGTGGATTCCAATTATGGAAGAGTCCCCTAGTTACTGCTTTCTAAAGGACTAAAAAAGCTAACGGCACAAGAGAGAAGACAACACCCTAAAATTCTTAAGGCAGCCCCAAAGAGCTCTTGTTGACTACACCTTTAGTGAATTCTTCAACGTGCAACCACTCTTTCTCAACTCGCGTTCTTCGTTTAGGAAAACTAAGAATACAACCAAAAAATACAAAAGCCTAGAAATAAGTGAAATCTCTATGTATTTCATCCAAAAGACCACCGGGATGGCTAAATAGTAGAAAGGAGAGCTTTATTGGTGATACCAGTTTGCAAACCAGGAAAAGACAGCCTGCAGCATGTGCGGAAGGTGCCCTCTCTTCCAAGAGGGAAAGGGCAGTTGGGTTTTATGCCTCACAGGGCCGGTATCACACAGTAGAGTCAGACATATTCAGTAGGTTTTGGGGAAAAGGTATCCATATTTATGGGGGGAGCTGAGCACATGCAGAATGAGTAAACATATATGTAGCATACATCCCATGTTCACTTCAGGGCAGGGTTTTAGTGTTAAAATGAGGTAGAATTTGACTCTTTATGTCAAAAGGTGAACTGTAGGACGTAAACACAGCTTGTGCACCACATCTATAAGCTGCTCAAACTGGCTTAAGGTCTGCCGTTGCTTACCAGGAAAGAATGTGTGTAAGGTCAGTCTTCTGTCCAGTCAGAGTTATGGTGGTCTGGGTAGTAAATCAGGGTGAGGAGGGGGTCTCATAGCACCTATTGTTAGGGAATTTCAATCATTAGGAATTTAGTAATTTGCCCCCCAGCCAGGCCCTGAACCCTGGACCCATCTTAGTTGATAGAGGAATGTCTATTTTGGCCTCACAGATCACATATATTCATCAGAATAGTCCGAATCTTATTTTCCTTCTTCACTTGCAATGAGTGAATATACCACGAAGTAGAAGTTCATGTTCCAGCTAATTTTAGTTCATCCACATTTTCTGGAAGCAACCAAAAGTCATATGTGTTTAGACAGCTGTGATTTCTGCCAATTCAGCTTGCTTCAGGAACTGAGGGGATTCAATCTTACTTTATGCCAAAATCTGTTTGCTTGTGGCTGTTAGCATTAATCTTTTAACCTTTGATTCGCATTCATCTGAAAAGCTAGAGATGATTGTCCTTAATAATTAGTGCCATTCTTCTGTATCGTTGCTTGGATTGCCCATGAAAACTAAATGAGACTTTAATTCACTTAGTAAAGCTCTGTCATTATTTTATCACTTCTAAAGAGCAAGCATGATTTATTACACAAATGAAACTAAGGAATAGTTATGTGACTTGTCCTTAGATTCCTGCAGCTAAGTGGATTTGGAATTCCTTTTCTAATTTGAGATTTATCTTCGCAGGAACCATATTGAGTTGACATGCCTCACAACACAAAGGATAAATTTCATGCCCCTTTGGCTGGAATATTCTAGTAGATCTATTTTCAGAAGTTAATCCCAGACTTGAGATATTTAAATTCTTCTTATTTATTCCCTGGGATGTGCCCAGTGCTCTGCATACATTCTTAATGCTTTAGGTGAAAGAAGGATCAGTCCAAGAGAAACATTCCTCCCCATGGAACAAGGGGTGGGAAGGGATATAAGAACTCAACCTAGAGTCAGAAGATCTCAATGCTGGAATCATCATCCACATTCGTTTTTAGATAAGGAAATTAGGTTCGGAATGAGAAGTGAAGGTGAAGTCTATCTGTTGACTTTGTCTTTGGTAACTAACAAATGATTGGACCCAATGGGAACGTTGCTGATTTTATGCATTGGATACTTTGAAGATGAAAACTTCATTACAAACCAATGATTAATTAAGAGTTGATATTTATAAGTCACATGTTCATAACAGCATTCCATTTGAATTGAACTGTCCATTTAAGATAAATCCAGCTATGATAGAAGGCATGGTCTCCATTTTGAGCTGAGTTTCTGACCACATGAAACTCAAATAAGTCTAAAAGTTTCTCTGATGTCTATCTACCATTTGCAGCAACGAAGATCAGATATTATATATTTACAAACTCCAGTGATAAATATATGTGGATAGATTGTATGTATGGTTAGACATGATTTAAGTTTTTGCCTCTTCCTAGATAGCTGTTTCTATTATGCAACTCTTTATAGCAATAAGAATTTAGGACTCCCCCAACACGTACCAAGCACTGTGCTGGTAAACAACAACAACAAACAGAGTAGAAGACGCTGTGTTTGCCCTCCAGGACCTGACAGTTGAGGTAGAGAAAGAAAATGTATTTGCTCAGAAGTAAGAGGATAGTAGGAAATTAGCATATAGTCAGAATCTATGGGGAAGGATCATGGATCATATGTTTACAGCTTAAAGGAAGAGAGCTACTGATGGACACTAGAAGTCAGGAAAGGCTTCATAGCAGTTCTAGGACTGTGGTGGAATCTTGAAGTGTGTGTAGGATATGAACCAGAAGAGAAAAGGGATGGATTCTAAGCACAGAGAACAAGTATGACATAGTAACACTGACGACAAGTGTGAAGGGACAAAAATACATATAATAAATTCAAGGGATATTTAATAAAGGAGTCTTGTCAGAGTTGAAGATTCATTTTGGTGAACGGTGGAAGATGAGGCCTCAGAAATGGATGATGAAAGGTCTCTGAACTGAACCAGAGTTTAAACTTAATTTCATACACAATAGAGAACTATCTGAGGCTATAATCAACAATCTGACATAAATAGAGTATAATCTTGTCTGTGGTATGCTTTCCTGTCTGTGATATGCAACATATGTTAAGTCCTTGTGGGTTCAGCTTTTTGTCCCAGCTAATTCATTATCATTATTAAGGATTATCTTTCAATATATCTTACAAAGTGAGGCACTGCAAAAAGAGAACGAAAAGAAACTAGAAAGCTCTAGGGTTTCAAGAAAGTTGCCAAAAGTCTGCTTATTTTCATATATCACCTGATACTGAAACTTACATTTTGGTAACAATCCTCTGAACTGTTTTATTTCCAATGTTTTTAAATTTACTGTGGCGGGAAAACACCCCCAAAAGTCTTGCTAACCCATTTAGCCTGTGGCCAATACTAGATTCATCTCGTCCTCCCAAAACACTAACTGGAAAGTCAAGGACAAGGTGACAGGCACCTGATAGTCTATCACTTATTCCTCTTATCACCTGCAGGATCTTGAATGTGTTAAACTGTTCTAGTTCTCTGATCCCAAGAAAACTTGGAGGTAACTCTTTCAAGAGAAAACAAGTAAGGTTCTGACTGTTGAGCTAAAAACTAAAGACACTGCTTGCTGTTGGGTTCTTTGACTCAGGGGAGAGTCCCAGGAGAAAGTCACCATGCTGATATGGTCTGTCCCACAGGTGGCTCCAGTGATTAAGGCCAGAATGATGGAGTATGGAACAACAATGGTCAGCTACCAACCCTTGGGAGACAAGGTCAATTTCTTCCGCATGGTCATCTCAAACCCTGCAGCAACTCACCAAGACATCGACTTCCTGATTGAAGAAATAGAACGTCTTGGACAAGATTTATAATAACCTTGCTCACCAAGCTGTTCCACTTCTCTAGGTAGACAATTAAGTTGTCACAAACTGTGTGAATGTATTTGTAGTTTGTTCCAAAGTAAATCTATTTCTATATTGTGGTGTCAAAGTAGAGTAGAGTTTAAAAATTAAACAAAAAAAGACATTGCTCCTTTTAAAAGTCCTTTCTTAAGTTTAGAATACCTCTCTAAGAATTAGTGACAAAAGGCTATGTTCTAATCAATCAGGAAAAGCTTAAAATTGTTATAAATACTTCCCTTAATTTTAATATAGTGTGCAAAGCAAACTTTATTTTCACTTCAGACTAGTAGGACTGAATAGTGCCAAATTGCCCCTGAATCATAAAAGGTTCTTTGGGGTGCAGTGAAAAGGATAAAGTAAATATAAAATGTATGTTGACAATAAAAACTCTTGCCTTTTTCATAGTATTAGAAAAAATTTCTAATTTACCTATAGCAACATTTCAAATGTATTTAAATACATATAATTTTACAAAAGGAAAATATATATATTAAAAAAGATATCCTATTTTGTAACATATAGATTTTTATTTTATATGGGTTGTACAAACTGCAGGGGCAGATATAAAAACTAAGCCAGATTTTTTTTCCTTTCTCTTAATGGAGGCACAGTAAAACACTTAGCGAAGTTATTTTGAAACACTGACCCACAAAATTCTTAAAAGGTATTATTCCTTCTTTCTATACATGTTATGGCTTATCACATCTCTAAAGTTAGTATTTCAAGACAAACACAAAAGAATACTGCAAGTTCTTTAAAATAATTGATCCCATTGGCAATAAGATTCTCTTCCCCTTGAAGTTTTCCACCCTTTTTACTCTTAGCGGACTCACTCTGCAAGTGTGACAAGCCAGGCTTCATCTCAGATTAAATTAGGGTAATTGTCTCTATTCTGCTTTCCAATTTGGCCTGTTTTGAACAGAAGGTTGATGCTCGTTCTTGAGGCATCTTCCAAATAGTATTCTTTTATTAGGTCATTTGAATTAATTAGAGAAAATAAAAATAAAACCTAATCAGCCTGAGCAAAGAGGAATGAAGCACACTCCCAGAATGTGGTGAACCCAGAAAATTAAAGTTGGCCTTGGGAGAAGAGATCTCTGTGGGACAATAATGACATCATCCTGGCGCCATATTGCCACTGTCCAGGAAAGAGAAATTTACCTTCAGGACAGCTGTGCATTTCCATCCCCTCCCCGTTCCTCCCCACAAAGTCTCTCCCACCAGACTGCCTACCACTGGGACCCAAAATAAATAATTTATATTCCATGGGTGATTGTTTCTCATCCATGAAATGAGCAGCCTCTCACCCTAGATTTTGAGGCATTATCTTAAGATTTTCCTTTATCCATCTCCCATCAAGATCCAAAGTGACCAGAATATGCAGAAATAACAAGATCCTTAGAATTCAAAATAGTATTTTTAAAACATCCTTCTTTCCCTGTGAACCTGATAGAAAAACCTGAGCTAACAAAGGCTTCCATAGATATTTATGGGGTCACACGTCGTCAGATTCCAAGTGCTGATAGGAGAACAATAGATTCATATGCAGACTGCAAATGCAAATTTAGGAACATTCTCCATTTCTGAATGGACCAGGCAGTTCAATACTCAGACTACAGGTATACAAGGGAAGAGAGAAGACCCTGCCCTTCAACAGGTAGAAATGCCCTACAATATAACCACAGGATCTAGCCATCCGAAATTTTCATAAGCTTCCCCCTACATTATTTCTCCTAGGTTATATGCAAAAACAGTGATAACTTGATATGAACACAGCTTTAGGCCTTTTCTGTCTAGAAAGCAAATGGGTTCACTATGACAATTAGAAGTAAACTCTTCTGTGCCACAGAATTTCATGAAGGAATAACCTTCCATTCTAGGCTTTGTCTAATGGCCAAACATCCCTTTCCTTTCTCAAAACTGCCTGGCCTGCTGAGAATAAGCACATAGCTGCCCGACTGTCTGGAGCCTCAGGCCCAAAGGTTCCACTTCAGAGACAGAGATGCTAATTGATCCAACCTGCTGTCCTTCTTGGAGAAGACATTGCGGCCCAATGCCCTAGTGAACCAACCCTGCTCTACTCCAGGATGCTTTATCTTTTGGGTTACAGATCCTAGATTGTGAACTGCTGCTGCTGCTTTTTAGGTTAATGAGATAGTAAAATTTTAAAGGACAATTTGTGCCTATGTATGAAATTCCAGCAAAACAATTCTAGCAAAAACAATAGCTCTTCTTCCCCACTCCCCTACCCCTTCCCAGTACTCCTTCAAATTGGCCAAGAGCCTTGCTCAGGCCTGTACAGGGAAATCCTTGCCAACTGTAGCCCAAAGAAGAAAGCAAATAAAAGCCTAGTAGGTCCCAGTAGTTTAATAAATCATCTTGAAAGGAGATGTGTAATCAGGTCAGAAGACAGGGAAGGAGGAAGGGAGGGAGGGAGGGAGAAAGGACAGAAGGAAGGAAGGAAAGAGGAAGGAAGGAAGGAAGGAAGAAAAGAGGAAGGAAGGAAAGAGGAAGGAAGGAAGGAAAGAGGAAGGAAGGAAGGAAATGGAGGAAGGAAGGGATGGAGGGAGGGAGGGAGGAAGGGAGGGAGGAAGGGAGGGAGGGAGGGATGGAGGGAAGAGGGGAGATTATTTTGAATATTAGCCCAAGTTCCCAGTGCCATGGTCTTTATGTGGGCCCATTCTTTACAAGTCTTAGAAAAGTTTGGTTTTAGCTTTAATCAGAACTGGCATGGCCATTTTCATTTATACAGCAATATTGTGTTTATCATTTAAAATACTTGAACAAACAAGTGTGATATGTCTTTATCTGAGACCTATGCATGGTATGGACTTTATATACTGTCACAGGATGTGAGGAAAGAAAAGGAAATCAATTCTGTCTGACTGTGTTGCCTTTATTATCTTGATAATACTGTCTTGTCACCTCAGATTGGGGTTGTGCACTTTAGATCTGAACTGTACAGTGTTGCAAATCAACATGTGTTCCTGTAAAAGCTTGTACAATATATTATTGATATGTCTTTTTCTGTGTGGTAGCTGTATTGAACTTTGATATTATGAAAACTACATTTGCATCTGTTCCTGTTCTCTCTCTCTCTCTCTCTCTCTCTCTCTCTCTCTCTCTCTCTCCTCTCTCCCCGCTAACTATATGCCCTCCACATCGGCTCTAATAGAGAACATGCCCTCAGCTAAGCCCCCTACTGAGAAACTTCCTTTGAGAATTGTGCAACTTCACAAAATGCAAGGTGAACACCACTATGTCTCTGAGAACAGACGTTACCAATTATGGAGTGTCACCAGCTGCCAAAATCATCGTAGGTGTTGGCTCTGCTGGGCACTGGAGTAGTTGCTAATCTTCAGAATATGGACAAAGAAGGCACAGGTGTAAATATAGTAGCAGGACGAGGAACCTCAAACTGGGTATCATTTTGCACGTGCTCTTCTGTTCTCAAATGCTAAATGCAAACACTGTGTATTTATTAGTTAGGTGTGCCAAGCTACCGTTCCCAAATTGGTGTTTCTGAATGACATCGACATTCCCCCAACATTACTCCATTACTAAAGACAGAAAAAAATAAAAACATAAAATATACAAACATGTGGCAACCTGTTCTTCCTACCAAATATAACCTTGTGTATGATCCAAGTATTTTATCTGTGTTGTCTCTCTAAACCCAAATAAATGTGTAAACGTGGACACATCTCAGGCTGTGGATAATTGTTCTGACTTTGTCTCATAGTGGAGATGATTTTCAACAAATTGCTAGAATCAAAGGCCCTTCACTTGCCCAGGAGCTTAAAGTGTCTTTGGGTCTTTTGTGGGGGAAAAAAAAAAGCTCTTCTGCAGGTGCCCACACTGTAGCTTCTGAAGGATATCTTTGCCCCACTCTGATTTCTCCTTCAATCAGATCTGATATTTTTTTAAAACATATTTTATTATGGAAAATGTCACATACATAAAAAGGTAGAGAAAATAGTATAAAGTCCTGTGTTGCCTTCACCCAGATTCAACATCTACTGATTATGAGCCTGAATCTTGTTTCATCCATTCCCCCACCCTTCTCCCTCCCCGACGTCCCCAACACTAAATTATTTTTATATGAACCTCTAAAAGATTAGTAATTTTTTTTTGAGCCAGAGTGTCACTCTGTCACCCAGATGGGAGCGCAGTGGCGTAATCTCGGCTCACTGCAACCTGTGCCTCCCAGGTTCAAGTGATTCTCCCGCCTCAGCCTCCCAAGGAGCTGGGATTACAGGTGTGCACAACCATGCCCAGCTAATTTTTACTTTTTTTTGAAATGGAGTCTTGCTCTGTCGCCCAGGCTGCAGTGCAGTGGTGCAATCTCCACTCACTGCAAGCTCCACCTCCTGGGTTCACGCCATTCTCCTGCCTCAGCCTCCCGAGTAGCTGGGACCACAGGTGCCCACCACCACACCTGGCTGGTTTTTTTGTGTTTTTAGTAGAGACAGGGTCTCACCATGTTGGCCAGCTGTTCTCGAACTCCTGACCTCAGGTGGTCCACCTGCCTCAGCCCTCCAAAGTGCTGGGATTACAGGTGTGAGCCACAGTGCCTAGCCTGGACTCCTTTAAAAGAAAAAATGTCCTTAATACCATTATCACAGCTAAAAGTATAGCAATATTGCCATGACAATGTCAAATATCCAGCTACTGTTCACATTTTGCCAATTCTTAATTTCACAGCGAAGTCCATGGCCTGTGGCTCAGAAAATCTGGTGAGGCTACGTGTTTCAGGACAGCGGAGACACCTACAATTCAGGCACACAGTACAATGCCATGTATGCACTGCTGTGCATATGCTGTGTGTATTTTCCAGTGTACTGAGTCTATTTCTGGACTTCTGTGAGTTACAAGTTCTGGTCTTGTGTTCAGGCGCTTTGCTCCCAGGCTCTCAGGAGCAGAGGATAAGTGGTGTGCTCAGGTTAAAAGCTAGAAAACCAGAGGAATTTAACAGATGGAATAGATACGCCTGATGTGCTTTGTCGGGTCCAGGTTGCCCAACAGGCTTGAGTTGCCCCTAATGGTAAAATTCTGGATGGAGTAAAGAGATACGATTTTAAACAGAGATGGGATACAGGAGGACAAAAAGGGGAGGAGGCTGAATTTCTAGCTAATGTCAATATTGATTATAGGAGAACCAGTAGAAGATAGCCAGATAAAGAGGATACTGCACATTCCTGCCTTTGTTCACATTATTCCCTTGACCTAGAAAGAATTTTCCACTTCTCCATGATTTGGGGAGCATCTTTTGTGGGTGCTAAGAGTGCAGGCTCTGGAATAGGATCACTGGGGATCTAATCACAGCCCCACACTGACTAGCTGTGAGACCTGAGCATATCACCCGACTTCCCCGACTCTGTTTCCTGGTTTCCTCTGACAACAGCAATTGTCAGAGGCTTTTGAACCAGAGCAACTCCATCTTCAATAGGGGCTGGGGAAATTGAGGCTGAGACCTACTGGGCCACATTCCCAGATGCTTAAGCCATTCTAAGTAACAGGATGAGAGTGGAGGTCAAGACAAGATACAGGTCATAATGACCTTGCTGATAAAACAGTTGGCAGTAAAGAGGCCGGCCAAAATCCACCAAGACCAAGATGGTGATGAGAGTGACCTCTGGTCGCCCTCACTGCTACACTCCACCAGCACCGTGACTGTTTACAAATGCCTTGGCAAGGTCAGGAAGTTACCCTATATGGTCTAAAAAGGGGAGACACGAATGATCCACCCCTTGTTTATCATATCATCAAGAAATAACCATAAAAATGGGCAACTGTCTATGGAGTAGCCATTCTTTTATTCCTCTGTTTTCTTGATAAACTTGCTTTCACTTTATGGACTCACTCTGAATTCTTTCTTGCGTGAGATCCAAGAACCTTCTCTTGGGGTCTGGATCAGGATCCTTTCCTGTAACACAGCCTTATTCATGAGGCTTTTGTGTGGATTCAGTAACATGGATGCACAACACTTAGCATGGTGCTTGACACCTAGTAAGTGCTCAACAAACCTTGTGCTTGTACTGATGAGTTCTGTAAGTCAACTCACGTCACCTCCTTAAACATTCACCCTCCTCTGAATTCCCGAACTACTAACTCTCTATCGGTAGTGGTCACTGGGCACCCACCTGACAAGTCCAGGCTGGAAATGTCATCTTTATCTTTGGCATCATCTTCTGCTTGTCCAATGTAGATTACCAACAGAGTCAACTAACATCACTCAGATTTGCTGACTGAAAGAACTGCTGCCTACTCCAATTAGGTGAACAAACCTCTCTCTAAATTTAAACTCAAGGAGATGTTCAGTTTAACTCAGTGTTTGCCATCTCAGACAACTCAGTCTGAAGCTTCATATGTGCTTTCCATTAACAGGGTCAGTCAGAGCCGTCTAACTCTTTTAATTTACTTGCTTATCAAAACACACATACATGAATATATATGTGTGTGTGTGTGTTTATATATATATATATATAGCTATATAGTTAAAAGTGCACATGGACACACACCCACTATAATTTAAGGGACTTGATGGTCCAAAAATAACATTATAATTTATTTCAATTATTGACACAAAACAGGAACAAACACCAAGAGATCAATAGCTCAGAGCTCACGTTTAGAGAGAACCAGAGGGGTCCATTTCCCCAAAATTAAACAGTGATGCTATAAAAACACACTGTGAGGATGTAGGTGGTTCACAGGCATAACCATCTATGTCTATGAAATGGAGAGGCTTGGGAGAGAGGAAAGGCCTGGAGCAGAAGGGCTGAGGAGGGGAGAAGGCTCTGGGGATTAGCGCCATGTCCCTTCCCCATCCTGCCCACCCTCCCTTCATCCAGCTCCCTGTTCTTCCAGCCCCTGACCTATTGTTTCACCAGTGATCTCTAAGGAAACTGTAAACTAAAAATTGCTTTTAAATGGTAAAGTAACTACAAATGAAACTGCCTTTGCAAAAATTGTAACAGTGAGAAAATTATGATAGCAAAAGAGATTTGATCTAATCAACCCCCATCTTGCCTGTAATCTCCAAACTGCCCTTCATCATTCCTGGGCTTGGACCAAGCAAACTTTGGGAGAAATTTAGTTTATTGTTTAAATGATAATAGCCCTCCCCAAAACTAAATCGCCTTTGTAAAGCTAATGAAAGTCCACCAGGTTACCAGGTTACCAGGATGAAAGCACCCTGAATTCTGCTAAGGTGTAGACATAAAGGATTGCCAGCCATTGTTCAGGAGGTCCTAAGATTTGCAACTCTTCCAATTACTCCTGCAGATAACGTTACTATTATAGAACCTGAGACTGGCCTTTTGAGATGTCTTTTCAGCTTTTTGTGTTTCTGACAACCCATGGCTGCACCGGAACCCTCTGAACCTGACCCTGACCCTGACCCTGCTGAGCCATCCTGTGGCCCCACCTAGAAGCAGACTCCCTGGCCCGCCAAACTGTCTTTGAAAAACCCTAGCCTCTGAATTTTCAGGGGGATGGATTTGAGGAATAACTCTGTCTCCCACATGGTCTGGCCGGGCTTCTGGTCATTGAACTCTTTACTGCAATGCTGTGGTCTCAGTGAATTGTTTTTTTTTTCTGTGCAGTAGGCAGGAAGAGCCCATCGGACGGTTCCACAAATGGGCAGTTTTTTGCCATGGGCAGAGCAGATGGTTGCGTGTGAAAGATAGTAGAACATTTTTGACAAGAGGGGAAGAGAGACAGGGTGGGTAGAACTAAGCTAAAGACCAACTAAGTGAAAATATTCGCCTGAGACCTGGCATTCTCCTCCACTGAGGGACGCTGCTGGCCTTCCTCCAGCCCTGGGCTCTCTGAGGCCCCTTCCAGGAGTCTAAAAGGGCTGCTCACATTTGCCACATCTCTCCGAAGAAGAAAATACCGAGTTAAGAGACCTGACTGCATTTTACCTTTCCCATAAAGCCTTCCTCACTTACCCTGAACAAAACATACTGTGCTTGAAACACTGAGTCTGCATAATCCTCTCACTCCTGGCATCTGTACTGCCTAGAATTGTTCTCCAGCTGTTTGCCATCTGTAAATCTGGTCTTTCGATTTTTCTTTGAGGGCAGAGACATGCCTTCCAGTCACAGACTTAGACAGCTAGAAATACCCTTGTCGACTAAAAGAGTCAAACTCTGTAAAATATTTGAAGATATTTATTCTGAGCCAAATACGAGTGACCAATGGCCCGAGATACAGCCCTGAGGAGATTCTGAGAACATGTCCAAGGTGGTCAGGCCACAACTTGGTTTTATACATTTTAGGGAAACTTAAGATATCAATCAATACACGTAAGATGCACAATGGTTCAGTTCAGAAAGGTGGGACAACTGGAAGCAGGTAGCCATAGTTAGATTCAAAGATTTTCTGATTGGGAGTTGGTTGAAAGAGTTAGGTTATTGACTACAGACTTAGGAATGTGTGGGTTAAGAGAAGGGGTTGTGGAGACCAAGGTTTTATCATGTAGGAGAAGCCTCCAGGTAGCGGGCTTCAGAGATAGACTAGATTGTAAATGATTCTTATCAGACTTAAAGAGTCTGTTCTATCAGTAATTCCAAATGGGAAGAGGGCTTAATGTGCTATGTCCAACCCTCCCTTCCCATTATGGCCCAAACTAGTTTTTCAGGTTAAGTTTGGAATGCCCTTTGCTGAGAGGAGGGGTCTATTCAGATGGTTGGGGGG